TTGTAGAATAAGAACACGTCATGCCCGTCAGAACTGCCTTTTGTCTTTATAGGCAGGCTAAGGTTTGCCTCCCAGCTTGAGCTCCTACACTAGACCATGTTACAAGAGTTCGGCTGAGGATGGTGCTGTTCCTCGACAGAAAACACTGAATCTAAATTAAGTCAGCTCTTTTCATGTGGAATAGGATTCAAGAGCACCAAGAACAGTTTGGGAGTAAGCCCTTAACATAAAAAAACGGATATATTTGCGTTCCTAGAGAATCAACATTGCAAGTCTTCATTAACTAGTATCAGTGCAAACATTTGACAATCATGAGTTCGCATTTTCACCACCAACCTTCTTCCATAAGCATGTCATTACCGCACTGTAAACGGATCATGACAAGGAGAAGCCTAATCATCTTCCCATTTGAACACTTCAACTACCTCCCTCCTAAAACAAATTCTACCAGCTCCAACGTGACCTATTTTCCAAGTGAAACATTCGTCAACAGCGCGGCACATGGGGATGCTCGATTGTGTCCTGCGAGTGAGTAGACTTTAATATGCATGCAGTCAGGCATGTGTGATTTCTGAGTGACTGCCAAAAATGTTACATCCCACAACCCCTCGGGTGCTTGTACCCAGGGTGTTGCACCAAGCTTAATGACTCTTCAGGTTGTTCCGAGGAAAAGGTAATTGCAGTTTGTTGGAACAATTAAAAGTCTTCTGAATCCAAATGTCATTTCTGTCTCACAACTCCCTCAGGGCGCGCCAAATAACCTCTCTCTGGTTCACCACTAGTAGAAGTTTAAAGTAATTATTGCTTTAAATTCCACATTGGAAGTAGGGATGCATTCTCTCAATAAAAACATCCTCCCCTCTGTCATGAACCTTGGAGTGACTTTCACTACCACTTTTAATTTCGACAAGCAGGTCAGCACCGTAGTCAAATCCTGCTTTTTTTAAATAAGACTATTGGCCAAAACCAAGTCGTATTTATCTTTTAAAGATTTAGAAAAGGTTATTAATGCCTTTGTAACCTCAAGACTGGATTACTGCAATGATCTATACGTGGGTATGGACCAGGCCTCAATTAAACGCCTGCAGCTAGTCCAAAATGCAGCTGCACGTCTTCTAACTGGCCATAAAAAGCGTGACCACATCACCCCAATTCTGGCCTCATTGCACTGGCTTCCAATTCGGTTCCGAATTGATTTTAAAATCCTTTTATTTGTTTTTAAAGCACTAAATGGGCTGGCTCCGGCCTATGTAGCAGAACTCCTCCATCGCTACACCCCAGCCAGAGCTTTCAGTTGCTGACCAGCTGTTGCTGATAGTGCCCAAGACCAGGCTCAAAACCCGAAGGCACCAAGCCTTCGCAGCAGCTGGCCCCAGGCTCTGGAACACTCTGCCCCTCCATGTGAAGTCGGCCCAGACCCTAGGGGTTTTTTAATCTACTCTTAAAACACACTTCTTCTCCCTGGTCTTCTAGTCAGAGTGGAGCACGACTCCTGACTTTTCCCTGTGTTTGTTATATATCTGTTGTAATTTATTGTCTTTTATTGTGATTGTAGTAATGTGTTTTTATTACATGTACAGCACTTTGGCTCGACCAAAAATCGCTTTTAAATGTGCTTTATAAATAAAACTTGATTTGATGTTGTATATTGGGCCAGTAAATGATTGTCCAATAATTGGACTTTCAGATTATTGAAAATTGAAGCTACATTACCCGCATTGATTAAACTAGCGAAGCATCTAGACATTTGTTAAAGTAGGTGGCGGTGTGCAACTCTTGGTTTGGATTTCTGAAGCTAATGTGCAGGATTTTTTCTGTTTTCAATTCATATCAACATGGTTGATTACACCAATTGTAATTGGCGTGACAGAAATACAATGTTAGAGGAAGACAACACAACTGAACGTTTTTTAATGTGCTTTACCAGAAAAACAGAGCTAACATTTCGCTAACTTTTTGTTTTGTTAACAGAAATGATGTTGGAAAGATTACCTTTTTTCAGCGAAAAGTGGGAAATGATTGGTTGAAGAAAATCTACATGATGCATCCCTAATGGGAACAGTGATGCTGACATGTTTAATGAAGACACACACACACACACACACACACACACGCAACAGAATATGAGTGTTATCCTGAAAGGCTTTGAGCTACAGTTGTCAGTGAAACGGCTTCCACAGATGGCCACTGGCCTGAGTTTTAAGGCAGCGAGATGGAAAAATACATGTTGTTCCATTTGAGATTTGCTCATGTGTGATGCCAACCAGAGCAGAATATTGTCAAAGTACCAAAGCCATAACCTTCATGTTCTTTCTTACACACTCGCGGATACACAAACACAAGACACACACTCCTCTGACGGCTGACCCTGGCCTTGTATTTTACCGTGACATCATCATGGGTCTGCTGTGTTGAACGCAAAGCCCACAGAGGCTTCCTCAAATGTCAAATAGTCTTGTTTCATACTACATCCAACACCTCATGCATTGTATGACGGAATACATTTAGCCAAATGTCATACAGCTCTGACTATAATACTAGTGAGGGCATATTATATTCATAAACCCCGTCATGATGCTGCATAGAGACACTGTACTCACAATGGGCTTCATAATTGCAGTGTCAGTGCACTTTAGCATTAGTCAGTTAAAAAAAGTTTCATTATATTCATCCCAGGAAGAATAAGACTTGAGAGAAAGGGAGGGGAATGCCGAGAGCAAATGTATTCACAACAGACAGATGGAGAGTTAAAATCTAAGCTCCCCGGGTGGTCTCTTGCTTCTTCCCATATTGGGTGGGTGATGCAAACATACAGTAATAAACAAAATGATTAGCAGCGAGCAGGTGGGGGATAAGCGACTACACACACATCACCATATGACGAAACACACACAGATTTATTCTTGTCAGGACATTTAAGTCACTTGTATTAATGTCCAGGCTGCTTTATTGTTGCCAAACTGGCCTAATATTTAAGCATTATTGCTTTTAACAAACAAAAAAATTAAAGTGTTTAAATCGACTATCAAAACAAATCCTACCACTTGAATAAAATTCCAGCTCGAGTGAACACTGGATTATAAATGATTTGCATTTGCAAAAACACATATGCTCACAGTGGCAGAAAAAGAGAGACGGAGAGATGGTTAAACATCCTGAATAAAGCCATTATAAAATGGTGAATCTCCACACACTATTTGAGATAAAACCAAGCCAGTCATTGGCTTAAAATAAGTTCTGAAACATTTTTCTTTTTAAATGATGAATGCTGTCTACACTCCATCTCTCTGGCTTTTCAAGGGAATCACACAAATGACCATATAAAACGGCTAAATAATTTAGATTAAAAAATTACATTTAGAATAGACAATATCAAATATTAACTCCACGTAATTCATTTTACTCCTCTGCTCCACCATGAGGTCCTCGTCTAAGGATCACATATTGACAGCTCGGATGAATTACAATGATGGAGGACTCATGAGGCAATGCAAAAAAAAATCATAATGTGATCTTCATGTCCAATTTACACAGAGATCATGCGCAATTAAAATGGTCACAAACCCCAAATGACTGCATGATTATTGATTTATTTAAAGGAGGCCTGTAGAGGGCGCCAAAACTGCAGTCACTTCCCCAGCTGATCTCCAGCTGCTTATAAAGAAGAGGCCCTCTAAGGACACTGTCTGCTTCAAAAAGTACTTATTTTCTTTGGCAACATGAAATACAGTTGTGTTTAACTTGATTTAAAGAAAAAACAGAACAGAGGTGAATAACATTTCAAGACAATGTTACAATTTTGAGAAGAGATTTGATGATGCAGGATATTTTACTTCGATTTCAGTGTCAACATAAAACAATCTAGATATATTTGATCTATGGAGCATTTACATTACATGTTAGACGCTTTTATCCAAAGTGACTTACATACTCAATACTGTGGACAATCCCCACAGGAGCAATTTGGGGTGAAGTGTCTTGCCCAGGGACACAACAACATTTGTGTCGGCTATATTGCACCTGTGCTCCCTTGATCCGAACACCAACGCTCTATCCACTGCGCCACACGCCTCCTACTTACTGAATAAACATTTGCTGCACCAAACAACAAGGCCTTGGAAATAAAAATGTACATCACATGGACATCTCTTTTTATTTTGAACACAGTATATTTTATTTAAGAATCTTGAAGTTCATCCCCATTTGTGAAGTATAACATGTGCTGCTTCATTAGGGAAAATACTACTCCAATTATACAATTTAATTGGATTGTTGTGTTGCTAGGAAACAACTATCGTCCAACTTGTAGATACTGGTGGTAATTAATTAAATATATGTTTTAGGGAGCCATATATAGTGTGAATATTTTACCTAGTTAACTATAGATACCAGTATTTATATTAAACAGTTCAAACAGAATTGAAGTTGAAGCATTTACAATATAATGATTATTTTCATTTGAAATGATCCATATGCCCATAAGTCAGTAGTACTGTGAGGGAAATAATGAGGTGAAACCTGCGGTCAAAAACATTTTTAATTGGGATATTTTTAGTTTGAAATCAAATTTAACAAGGGGTTTTTCAAATGTTCCAGGAGCCCACTGGAACTGCCAGCAGGACACCCCGAGGGCCTATTGGGACCCCATTGGGCATCCACTTTTTCAACTCTTTTAAAGTTATGCATTATCCAAAAACATGTAGGTGTGTTGCAGCAGCAGCAGTGTGTGCTTGATAAACTAACATAGACATCTCACTGTGTCACGCCAAACAAGTCTGAGGTGGGAGATCAATGTTACATGACATCACATCTCCTCTATCTGATAAAGAATGCGAGGTGAAACATGGGCATGCAGGGTAGACTCTTGCTTTTGATTGACTGTCAAAGCTATCTCCTGAATTCCAATGGTCCATCTCTCTCCCTCCCTCTCTCCCTCCCTCTCTCCCTCCCTCCCTCTCTCTCAGCATCCAGCAGCTGCGCCTCTCATGCCTTTCCCGACGCTGAGCGAAGCCTCCCATACAGATGAGCGCTGGAAGCCACGCACCTCTTGACGTAGCCACAGACCGGTTGCGGTGCCACTCGGTCTCCGTAGCACGTATTTGCGCAACGTGACCGATGCTCAACTGGCTCCACGGCAGGCACATCCGGCTCCCACCGTCTCGTGAATTCACTCGAAAAAAGTGCTATCATAACGCCGAGGAAAAAAGCTAGAGCCTCCGAGGTGCTGTGGAGGGGGAAAAAAACCTCCACCGCTTCTCTCCTCAGACTGGACCTTCCCCTTGTCACCGCCGCCGGTAGACATAAGTCGGGGTGCAGTCGTGATGTGACTGCGTGAACGCACTCCACTTTGGTATCTGCAACAGCAGCTTTGACGACCGCCCAGAAGGTGAAAACAGTGCCAGCGTCAGTGTTTTGGTGAAGCAGAGGTGATGGCTTCGTTTGACAGCATGCAGTCCACGCAGCAGCAGCTTCCGTGACCACAGCTGGATTTGTAGGGAGCTATGTCCGCGGGCACCGAGGCTCCGTCCGCCTGTGATAGTCGACAGCATCAGTGTGCACCCTCGGTTTGGCGCTTCGAGAGTCTTCGCTAAAGTCCACGCGCACACTACCTGGAGTCAAGGAGAGGTTGCTGTTTGTTGAAAGGCCGGGCTCTCTGCAGCCCACAACCCCACATCCTCCGCGGCGTTTCTCCGCGTTCTTCATAGCGGTGGACATCAAAGCAACCGCTACCTGAGCCTGATCTCCAACCGCGGCCATACATACCTTTACAGCTAATACTGAGACTTAATTAATCGACGCGTGGATCGCAGCGGTGCTGTATATGTGCCTCAGTCACACCGCCCCGGAAAGGACTTCTTGCCATTGAGAGCTGGATATGCAGAGATTAACGTGAGAGGATGGATCTAATTATCTGTGTTTTGGGGCTGCTGGCGCTGGCCGTGGAGGGCATCCGTTGCCAAGGAGTGTATGGTGAGTGTATGCAAAACTCAAACGTGATCATGACCTTGTAAAAACTAGTGGTCGCTCATAAATTGTCACTCATTCTTGGACTCATAAAGGTCCTGTGATAAATACAATTCAACTCGTGTCATGTTTGAGTGAGAGCCTCCAAATGTTCCCACCAACCCTGAGTTTATACCTATGGTGTATACAGCAAATCGCATGGACAGACAATCATACACAGCCCCCTTTTCTCATCCAATCCATCACTCATGATAGTGCTAGATTTGTGTTGGCTATATTCATATATTATAACATGGGGACCTCTCAGGCTGCTAGCCTACATACATGTCATTTTGAAATGACCATTCAAAAAGGTCTACGCGGCATAAATGTGTTTTAAAATGTCACCAAGAGGACAGTAATCAGTTGAGCAGCGGCGTTTAGTATGCACAGTCATGAATTATTTTTATGTGTGGTGGTTCTATCCACCTACCTCTTCCTTATGTCTGTCAGTCTGTATCTATCTCTGTCTCTCCCTCCCATGCACACACACATACATACGCACACACATGTCTGTCTCCTACCCTGTCTGCTTGTGCAACCAGTGGCACAGATGATGTCTCATATTAATCGTCATCCTTGCAGCAGCAGCAGCAGCAGTATGAGGAAGTAATGATTCATGTGCACTTATATCGGGACATGGAGGAAACCTTGAGGTGCACATCTCCGACCTGTCTGTGTTGACAGCGGCTCTCAGCATAGCAGAAGTTGTGCAGGGGGAATGCGAGGTCAAGTTAAGAGGTTCAATTACATTTGAGAGGCTGTTGCCAAGCACCATAAAATATCTTTGTTGCTATCTTGTGTGTGCAGAGATGATGTAGCAATGAAACATTACCGTGAGCATAACGGCAACAGTCGTGGTGCTGCACCCGACCAATGATGCGTCAGGATTTTATCTATTATTTTGCTCTGGAGCAGGAGTCTCACTGTTATACACTTGAAGGGGTCTTCAGGGCCAGGAAGGGGGGGGGGTGGCACTGCTGTTATTGACATCTCATATGAAGGCCACTTCAACGATGAAGTGCCACAAGTAACACAACATTTGGGAGCATTTTCTTTCACATTTCCATTACTAACATCTTATCGGCAGTTTTTTAAACAACATTTTCCCAAAGTGGCCTGCTCTTCTCGACCCCTGTGCTCAATGGAAGATAAATGATTCAATCACAGCACATGCCAGGGCAGCGATTGCATAACCGCTCTCTCATGTATGTGCAATGATAGCCGTATTTCTCCTCCTAACACCTGTTGCAGATGTATCTCACAATGCCTAAAAATGCGATTTTTACTCAAGTTTTCAAACTCTCTAAGCCCTCATTAAGCAGTGTTAGATTCCTACGTGGGTGTGTTGTTGTTTAGAGTTAGTGAATTCACTAGCCTGAGGGCATGACCTCTTATCCAACATTGATGTCTCAAGACGGCATTGCCTTGACTTGATTCGATATTCGCATCTACTAAAACAGTCTCTCGGAGATACACATATATTCAGGGGAGACAAGCATGACGTTAACCATCAATACTGATCACATGCATGTCAGATCAAAGCTGTGGATCCTTGGTGCAAGCCGGCTCTCCATGCTAAAGCGTGTGGGTGCAGATGAAGATGCAAGCTCATTAGAAGGAATCATATCCCATAATGCACGTTGTGGTGTTGCCATAGAGGCATGTGTGGACTAGTGGGCTTATAGCAGCAGCCGAGACGGGGCGGTGTAGCAGATGGAATTGTTTGAAATTCAGATGTCTGTGTTTGCATATACATCATGATGTTCAGCCTGAAAATTCCCATGAGCACAGTCACCCCCATTTCCCTATCACTACAGTGACTAACTTATTCTACAGTCAATGTGTTAAGACTTACATTTGTCCTTATTTTATTGGTGCTTTAACTGGCACTGCTAAAGGGAAATGGCTTAGATACAAGCAGATATATAAACATTTATATACTCAACCTTGAATATAAAATCCCTTTAATTGGCAAAGAGCCATTGGGTAGGTCCTCTACATGCCTCATGTTTAAAGCGTACTGTGTCTCCAGAGGGGTGCCCTGAGTAAAAATTCATTGGCAAGGTTCAAAAGTCAACATTTATTATTGATACACTGAAAATATTAACATGCAAGTTGGGTTTTCGTCCGTTGTATTCACTGAAGGTTTTGACACATGAAGGAGGGGGAGGCGAGAGAAGGGTGTCAAGGAAATGGAGTATTCTGCACCGCATGTAATAAAAAAGGCAGTATGTGGTTGAATAAAATGAGGGCTGTGAGAGGATAACATGTTATGGTGGCAGTAACTTTGAAGTGGTGGAGTCTCATACTTTTATAGAGGGCAAGGCCTGAATGTTTTTACTTTGGTCTTACTTTGAAACGAGGTATGTTTTTTTTCTTTGCTATCTCACAGTCTAATCAATTTCAATAATAGTTATTCACACTGTTTTTTTATCACCCGATTCCATCTCTTTTTTGTGGTGCGTTCAAAGCCTCAGCAATCACTTTCCTTCCCTGGATTGCAAAATGACCCAAAAGCAGATGAATAGGGCAGTTAGCGAAAAATAGACTTTTCTCAATGATTATTTTTATCCCCTAGAATCGGCAACCGCCATTGGTGCGGACCAAATGATGGAATCATGGTGTAATAATGAAGAAATCACATACTAGTGCGTTAAGTGGTGCTGCCAGAGTCATTAAAGAGGATTGATGAAGGCTAGTCATCCCTCCATGACTCCAGGCCACAGAGGGAAAAAGAGAGACACCACTAAAGTACAACATCTGCTCCACTCTTTCTCCCCTCTTTTTTTCCAGTGTCTCTCTTTCCTCATCACTTTGACACACACACGCGCACTCACACCCTCCACCAGGAGATTGCTCTATTACTTGACCTCTGCTGCTCTTCTGCCGTAGCAAATGAAAGCACATACAAACCTGGCAAATGATCTCAACTGGTAATTATCTGATAACCAATTAATGTTTGTTGACGACCCAACTGCCCTCAATAATGGTATTAAACCGCATCAATGGAACATGACACTTATGGTAGCATGGAAACGTTTCTTGCTTTATCTGGAGATGCTCTTCAGTATGTTCTCTTTGAATCTAAGTCACTCGGCGACAACCTCCATGGGATGCATGGATGTTCCTGATCTCGTTTTATCTCGTGTTATGCTAAGAGAAAAAGTTCCTACTGCTCTCTCTCCCAACCCACTTCTCCATCTCTCTCTTTGCCTCTCTCTTTCTTTCTCTCTCCCTCTCGTTTGCATTGAAGTCCAAGCAATTGCTGGGGTTTCTTTTCATGAGCCCCGGTTCAGTCGCTTTGGCTTCTAAGCTATGCAAATGCATTCTGCCAGTGAAACTAAAGCCGTCTTTGTTGGTTCTCAGAGGCCTCCTCCACAGAGTCCTTCATCATTCCCTTGGATCGGGACCCTCACATTTCCCACCATAATGAGACCGCGGATAACTCTATCTCTTCTCCATCCTCCCACTCTCAGCCCCCACCTCCCTGCCGGTCTCTCTGCTCTGCCTGTCTCTCTCTCTCCGTTCCCGCGGGGAACAGCGGAGGGACGTTTACAGTATGCGCTTCAATCAGAGGCAAATGAGGATATACAGCTGGGTACGGTGCAGAGGAAGTACTTTGTTGCAGTAGAGGAGAAGAAGGGGGCTTCAGATAGCACCAACTTAATCATACCCAATGTCAGTTCTCTTAGGACTGAGTCCACTGAGACCGCCGCTGAGTATACACCGCAGAGACAATGTTTCGACTTTTAAGTCTGCGCACTCCTGCTGTTCTCAGTATTCATCGGATAATCGTTTACATTCTTACTTTAATACTTTAGTACAATGCGATTAAGAAGAAACCGATGTTTTTACAGTGTGGTGAATTCGGGAAATCAGACGTAGAGTATGCTAAAAGTTCAGAATAAGTTTAGTATAGCCCTTTTTAATTGTTATGGTCAAATTGAGGCAGATTTGTAGTCCTTTGTTTGAATCCTCCTTTTCCCATAATACAGCCAAAAGCATAATTAAATGTAACACTTCCTGCCTGGCTAAAGCCCTATCTTTTAAACTTCATAGTAATATTATAAACTAAACTGTGATCTTCCAGTCAAAATTGCGATAATTCTGAAGACATCACTGCGACACAAGCTGAGTGATACTTCTCATTTGTGTAAAATCACTGAAAGTGCCTTCTCAATTTTATCTCTGTGACTTCCCGTTTAGCTGTGAGGTAGTGTTGCCCATGTTAATGCGAGGTGTGTGTCTGTGTCGGTGTGACTCTCCACTGGAACGATGCCACTCTCAGTTCTGCCCTCTCTTTGCCCCCTTTAGCTACTTTGGAACATTTTGCTGTGTATAGTGTGGTAGTAAAACAAAAAAGGATCAGAAACATGTAGCTTTAATTTGTATGGTTACTACTGCAATGACAATATTCCATTGCTGTTCACTTATGCAGAGTTTAAAGCAAAGATAGAGTCGTGCGCACCTGTGAAGAACGGAATATATATATTATTTATGATTTCTGTTCAAAACTATTCAAAAGGATTGTAATATAGCTCTGGCTACTTTTCACATGTCATAAACAGCTGAAATACTTTCCTACTGTGAGGATTTGGATGAGTTCATGAACACAATTTACCTCTGGATCACTAGGCCAAATCCCCACCGCGGACCAAATAAGCTTATTGTAACATGGCTGGCTGCTTCAACTGTTAAGCCCACATCCCCAAACCCTGAGCTACGTGTGCTGCTCTGTACAGTGCTGGGTACAGAGAGCTGCTGCTAATGATCTTGTAGCCATTCATTCATTAAGTCCTGTCCCGGTGCATGACTACACCGGCCTCACGCCCCGCTTTATTTAGAATCTGTTCTTTAAATTAAGTCCAGTAACTGATAGTCTTCCCTTTGTCTTCTGACGTTCTGATGAAGTGGCCATTCATCATCTGGATCATTAAAAACAAGATTTTAATCCTAAATGGCAA